CGGCACAGCACCTGCCTGGCAAGTTCAAGGCCCTCATAGCAAGACCTTGTCTCCACACACCAAAAAAAAAAAAAAAAAAGGAAATTAGAATTAATTGGAATTAGTGAAAAATTGGAATACTGCACAAATGGCATTGAAAACCTGTCTACTGAAATAATAGCAGTAAATTTCTCAAATATGGAAAAAGAATGTAACATACAGATAAGTGAGGCATATAGTACTTCAAATAGCCATGATCCAAAAAGAACCTCTCTGTGACATATTATAGTCAAAATCCTAGAAGTCCAACACAAAAATAATCTTAAAAGCAGTCAGAGAAAAGCAAAAAATCACTTATAAAGGAAACCCCATTAGAATTACAGCAGACTTTTCAACACAAAACTTAAAGGCCAAGAGACCTTGGAATGAAATATTTCAAACCCTAAAAGAAAACAGATTCCAACCTAGCCTGTAAAACTATCTTTCAAAATTGATGGAAATAAAAGATACTTTCATGATAAAGAGCACCTAAAGAAATTCAGGACCACCAAACCAGCACTCCAAAAAATTCTCAAGGACATCCTAGAAAGAGACAATGAAACTAACCATGACAAAAGGTCTAATAGAATAAATACACCCAGTAGGATGAGCAGTTAAGTAGAAGAGAAAGAGAATCATCAACAGGAAAATAAAGCAATGTAGAAATAAGTCAATATCTGTCAGTAATAACTCTCAATGTTAATGGTCTCAATTTTCAAATCAAAAGACACAAACTGGCAGAACGGATTAACAAACAAAATGCAATGGTATGCTGCATTCAGAAAATACATCGAACCAAAAAAAAAACAAAAAACAAAAAAACTCATAGACAAAAATTAAAGGATGGAAAACAATATTCCATGCAATGGTGATCTTTTTATAATGTCCTTAACTCTTTCTGGAAGGTACCTAGAAGGAGAATGGGCTTCCATTTTTAATTTTTGAGGAATCTTCTTACTGACTTCCATAGTAGCTGTACTGGTTTACATTCCCACCAACAATCTAGAAGCATTCCTTTTCCACCACAGCCTCGCCAGCATTTGTTATTATTTGCTTTCTTGAATCCAGCCACTCTTTCTGAATAGGATGAAATTTTCTTGTTGTTTTAATTTGCATTTCTCTAATGGCCAGCAACATTAAGTATTTCTTCATGTATTTATTGGCCATTTATATCTCTTCTGAGACATGTCTATTCATTTCAGTTGTCCATTATTTTTATTGGGTCTTTTATTTTGAAGCGATCTAAGTTTTTCTTAGTTCTTTATATATTCTAGATCAGTGATGGTGAAACTGGCAGAACCCGTGTGCCCAAACTGCAATCCCAAACCCACTAATTATCAGAAAGGGCCAACACTGCAATTAAACCTGAAAAAAATAACTCATACAACTTGCGACATCATTGCAGAGAAGGCACACATGCCACAGGTTCACCACTACAGCTCCAGATACAGTCCTCTGTCCAAACAATAGCTAAAAAAACTTCCATTCTGTAGATTGTCTCTTCATTCTGTTGACCGTTTTCTTTGCTGCACAGCAGCTTTTTAATTTGATATGATCCCATTTATTGATTCTTGATGTTATTTCTTGTGCAACTGGGATTCTGTTCAGAAAATCCTTTCCATGTCTCCAAGAGTTTTACCTATTCTATCCTCCCATGATTGCTTCTGCTTTACTATTTAGATTTTGATCCATTTTGACTTTAGTTTAGTATATAATGAGAGTTATGGGTCTAGACTCAGTCTTCTGCATATGAATAGCCAATTTTTCCTGCATCCTTTGTGAAAGAAGCTGTCTTTCCTCCAGTGTATGTTTTTTGACTCTTTTGTCAAAGATCAAAGTTGAGTGTGGCTGGGTATTGTGGTGCACACCTGTAATTCCAGTGCTTGGGAGACTGAGGTGGGAGGATCTCTGCAAGTTCAAGGCCAGTTGGGTTACAAAGTGATTTCAAGGCCAGCCTGAACTGCATAGTGAAACCCGTCTCAAAAAGACAAAAAAAAAAAAGTTGAATATGTTTGATGTTGTTTCTGCATCTTCTGTTCTGTTCCATTGATATTCATGTCTGTTTCTGCATGGGTACCATGCTGTTTTTATCACAGTAGTTTTGTAATGTAACTTCAAGCCTGGGATTATGATGCCTGTTGCTTTGCTCTTTTTAAGCAGAATTGCTATTTTAGGTCTCTTCTAGTCCCGTATGAATTTTAAGATTGTTTTCTCCAGTTCTTTGAGGAGAGCTGTTGGTAATTTGATTAGGACTGCATTAAATCTATGTATCAGTTTTGGGAGTATGGCCATTTTGACATTATTTGTTCTGCCTGCCTATCCAAGAACAGTGGATATCTCTCCATTTTCTGATGTCCTCTATAATTCCCTTTTTCAGAGTACTACAGTTTTTGTTATAGGGGTCTTTCACTTCCTTTGTTAGGTTAATTCCTAAATATTTAATTTTTCTTAAAGCTGTTGTGAATGATATTATTTTCCTAATTTTTTCTCTAGTATATAAAAATGCTATTAACTTTTAGGTATTGATTTTTGCATCCTGCTACCTTGGTGAATTTGTTTATCAGTTCTAGGGGTATTCTGGTAGAATTTGGAGTGTCTTCTATGTAAAGGATCATGTCATCAGAATTTTTCTTTATAGATGTGAGATGGGTAATAGGAAAGACTCCATAGAATGGGAAAATTTGATGATGTAAAAGAGAGAGGGTAAGTTACTAGACAAGTGTCTTTGTGTGAGTAGGGATTGGCTTCAGATTGGAGTGTAAGTGATTATAGTCAAACGAGGTAACAGAGATTTCTGGCACAGCTACTCTTAGGTGGATGGTGTGGTTGGTGATGAGAGTCTAGGACAGTGAAGTTTTGCTGGCTTTCATTTCCTCAGTAAAATAGGAAGAAAGATTACCATTAATAATGATGATAGAAAAAGGAGTCCGTGATTCAAGGGGACAATAGGTGAGAAGTAGTCATCTAAGACTAGAAGAAAAATGAAAAGATAGGAATTTTAGCATGTAGCCTGCCTACATTCAAAGAGTGCTGAAATTCATGGTCACGAGTTTAGAAGGAAAACACTCAGGAATTTTATATATTTTCTCCAGCCAATTTAGATGCATGAGCATGGAAATGAAATCACTGAGTGCTTGGATTTAACCTGGGATGTGCTTTTGCCAAGAGATTACCATGAAGTGGAAGAGATCAAAGTGATTATGGGGGCTGGGGATTTAGCTCAGCGGCAAAGCACCTGCCTGGCAAGCGCAAGGTCGTGAGTTCGGTTCCCGGTACCGGAGAAAAACCAAAAAAAACCAAAAAAACAAAAAAACAAAGTGATTGTGATTCAGATACACACAGTAAGCCAGTGGTTGGCTGAGGAGCTGAAATTGGGCAGGGAGGGAGGAAGGAACATCCAGAGATTAAGTACTAGAGAAAGATGCTAGAACAAGTGGGACTTCTGTCCTTACGGGATCAAAGCATTGTTGGACTTTGGGTGTGTGGATGAGGGTGCATGTGTGGTTGTTTTAGCAAAAAAATAAACTTGATTGATTTTCTTATCATTACAGTAAAACTATAACACACTCCAAATCTGTCTAATGCACAACTCCCACATAGAAAAACAATGGTCATTCTTTGGCAAGAAGATTAGCATTTTCAATTTCAGTTGTTTCTCCATGTAGAAATGCCCAGAAAGTTACTGCGAATATGGATCTAAAATACAGGGGTAGCTTCTTTGGGCAGTTGCAGCGGCTGGTGGATTGGCAGCTTGAGTCCAAATTCTGGCCAAAATGCGGCAGTACCAGACCTGGGTGGAATACAGTCCAGTGGCAGAAAAGCTCTCCCTCGAGGACTTGATGAAGGCAGGAGTGGTTCTCAAATATAGGCACACTAACGGGAATTTGTGCATTAAAGAAACAGATGATTTAGTCTGTTTGGTGTACAGAACAGGTCAAGCTCAAGATGTGAAGAAGATTGAGAAGTTCCACACTCAGCCAGTGCGACTTATGGTAGCCAAGGAGTCCCGCAATGTTACCATGGAAACAGACTGACAGTTTAAAATAAAGATTGTTTGTCCTATTTGTAGGAAGTAAATATCTTTTGAAATTGATAAAGTATTGGAACAGAAAATACTTTATGTAACTAAGT